AAAACATCATATTATCCATGAGACAGACTGAGTAAAAGAACATAACAAATATAAGTACCTAATGACCAAATATTGTAACGACATGTGCAACAACAAACTGAAACAATATAGGCAGTTCATGAGATTAAGATACATTAATGAAGTACACACAAGTCTACCTTCAACATTGATAGAACTTGAATATTTAGAATCTACAAGGCACTTTTCTTTGTACATAAAGACATACATACACGATTTTATAGCGAAATAAACAGCGACAAATAGATTTAAACAGTTTGATATTCATCTCTTTGAACAATAAAAGCCATGTTTCAGTTATATTCTGAGCTACAGGGCCTAACAATTTTGACAAATTATGGTACATGTATGAAATCAAAATGCACTGCTTACATGTTTTTATGCCACCCTCCAGCAACACAACATTCTAATGAAAAGCTACCTTAAATGCCATCAATGATTCAAATATTATTTTTAAGCTAAGCTACTTTGAAGCATGAGAAGAATTGAAATCTAATCCAATCTGAAAATGTCCTATCATTAGTGTCTACGATTTTGGTTGAATTTTGTAGTGTTATACGGTATGCAATTCCAAAAGCATGATCAGAAAGCAACCTGGTACTAATAAGACAGTTATGACAAAAACATGACGAGAAAGCAGATGTGCATCACTAACCATTGATTATATAGGGTGCATATGGAAATGGAAGGAATACATTTCATAAATACAAACAAAAAATCATTATTCAATTCATTTGATACACCTTATGAAAATATATAGTTTATGAAATGTTTACAGCATATTCAAAAAAGTTATTGCTCTAAGCTCTCACAATCAAATCATGATTGTATCACTGTCAAAAGAGAATGTGTTCACAATAGAGACAATACACACAATACACTTGTGTTACAGAACTTACACAAGACATTAAGAAACACAAAAGTACATGAAAGTGTTTTATTCTTTTGCTATCTACTTACAATTCTGTCTTATTATTTTCGATTTTAGTTTCCTTCTTCTTCTTCTTCCCCTTTCTTTCTTTGTCTTACTCTTTGAATCTTCTTTCCCCTGCAGGTTTGTTTTCATCCATCCTTCCAGAGCCCTTGCCATAATAGCTCTTGTTGTCGATAGTCACCTCCTGGCATCGATCCTGTTCTAAGAGAAAGTTTTTCATCTCCCAAGCAGTGGCACCATCTTTGGTGAGGAAGATGGCCCTGTTGCTGTCCACCATGTATCTGCATGTAATAAAACAAGTAACAAGTAATGAGAATTGCAGAAAAGATATACTTTGTCAAAGTATGAATTTCAATCATACTGTTGTACAATCTGAATACAGGTGATAAAAGCAAAAACAGAAAATGTTTTTAAAAAACATGACAGAATGATTGCACTAAAGTTTAAGTGAAGTTAATATATTACCCATTTCAATGGCATATACTTGCTCATTGTAAACACTTGTTTGTTGAACAACAATTGTGTTTAATTTTAAAAAAGAAAGAAAAAAAGAACAGAGTCAGTGCATTTCAATCTTATGACAAAAGTTTAGTACATTGTCGTACTATGTTAATATTATGACATACAACAATGTTGATGTTTAATTACGTTCAAGAATTAATGAATGTGAAAGATTTCTATCAATTGATTAAAAAAGGAACTTCAAAATACGCTAATTTAGGGCTGCTTCCATTTCATCAAATTAGTAATAGGGGAATACATTTTCAAAATAACTTTGATCCCCTGGCATATCGCCTCGTTTTCCCTTTACAGGTATTTCTTACCTGTATATCCTGGATATATTGTATATCCCGGATATATTGTATATCCCGGATATAAATACGAGATCTTCAAATTTTAAATCTTCACACTGGAGTTCAAGAACACAACTTTTAAAAGTTTTCAAATGTCAATATGAACAGGACTAGACTTCATCATGGTACCATTTCCTCAGCAGTGTGATACAGTCAAACCTGCTTTGGCAATCACTTGTCTATAAAGATCACATTTTTCTTTTTCTTTGAAAATGGTTTCCCACTGAAACCTGTACAAAAGGAACCTGTACATAAAGGCCACTTGCCTATAAAGACAATTTTTCATGTTTTCCTTAAGTGGTCTTTATGTAGGTTTCACTGTAATTACAAAATGGTAGTGTGCTTTGCCTCAGAGTCCATGTGTACAGTGTTTCTGTCTTGGAAACCATTAATGTATTATACAAAACCATCAATCTACAAAGATTTTTTTTTGGCATAAGCATTTTGTTGTTGTAGTTGAAACATATCTCAGAGAGGCTGTATTAGGATGATTCTTTGCAATGTCTTTCATACGGCATAAGTTACTATCTTTTATTTCATCCCACAAATAAAATCTCCTGAAATGACCATTGCCTACTGATTATCTGGTTTCAATACTATTTACAGTTTTACACTGTATAGTCAATGTGCATAAATGCGCATCAAAATACAGAAAACACATTCATGGAATTGTCCATTAGTGTTTTAGGACTAACATTACATACTATCTTGACTATGTACAGCTACAGATACCAATATGAGTATTCCCACAAACAAGGTAAATAGTATGGTTTGTATTGACTGTATTAAAATATCTGTTTGAAATGTTACCAATTTCAAATACCTCTGGATTTGATAGTTTGCATTGAATAGCTGATCTTGCCATCGCTGGGTGATGGTTTCTGCTTCCTCCTTAGTTGGATCCTCTGAGACAGTCACAAACATCATCAGGGTCTTGCCCTTCTTGCTCATCTGAAGGATACTCTCAGGATTGCTGGGATCCATCTTGGAGAAGTCGATCTTTGGTGCTGGTCTTTCATGTTCCATCAAGTCATCGGGATCTTTCTCTTCGTCTTCCTGAGCAATGATACAAACAAGGTAAAATGATAATTTATGTTTGAGATATTTGCTGATCCTCATTAGGGCACAGCCCATTGAGAATTTTTTGTTTGTTATTGTGGTAAACATTTTGTATGCAACTGACGAAAAAGTCATAAAATCAAGACCTTAATTCCCATATTGAATGAAGTTTACAGCTTATTTAACCCCCAAAACACAATCTACATTATCAAACATAAGATAGTTGCATAATTTGCAAGGCAAAATATCCCCCAATCAGTTTTAGAACTTATGCAAAAGACAGCAAAATGTGTTTGATAGTTTGTCAATATTTTCATTAAATCATACCCATTCCGTAGAATTTTTTTCTCTAGTCTAGTCTAGATCTTCAATCTTAGATTTTAGGTTCCTCTTTCAAATATTGGTGTTATCAGATTTTCAAAAATCTTACTGATTTTTTTAAATACAAAATTTTAGCCTGATTGCTGAGAAGTGATAAACAGCATTCTTCCAGGACCTCGGGTAAAAGTAAAGATAAAGAGAGCATAGCCCTCTTCCAGCTGGATCTAGTCTCATCTCACTCTTCGATAGGCACGGAGCGCGCTGGGGACGCGGCAAGCAGCAGGGCCGTGTCCTTACCTCCCACTGATCGAACAATCTTTCCAGATCTGCATCATTGTAATCTCGAATATCTTTCTTCTTCCACTTCTGTGACGGACCATCCTCCTCCTCTTCTGAAGCATCGCCACAATATGTTGTTGCTAGAAAAGTGACGAGAAAGACCACAATTAAAAAAGTAGACTTTGACATTGTTCTTGAGAATGTATTGACGTTCAGAGCAGATCAGCGGGCAGCACTACTCCAGCAAATCCGGTCGCAAAATACAATGCACAAGCTTTCGACCTCGGCCTACTATATCATCTGGCCGGATCATCGACGTCCAGGCCGCCGGGCGCCGGGCCAGGCAGCGTAGAGCTAGCTAGCTAGCTGGCTGGGGCTCAGGTAGGCGCGGCTGCGACACACACTAAATTCCTAGACAACTCGTCCACCAAAATCTCGTTCGTATATATTGGAAACGCGAATTTTACAACTAAAAGCTAAGGCGAGCGATGCGCGCGAGCTTGCGAAACGTAATATTTCATGTCATGAGCACTCGACTCGCGCCGTACCAGTGGCGGAAGAACTGGCCTAGTAAGTGCTGCACAATATTTCTTGGATACATATTCACTGTCGTCATAGGCGCCGAAAGTGGGGTGGCAGGGGGGGGGGGGGGGGGGGGGGGGGGTGGGGGGGGGGGGGGGGGGGGTGGGGGGGGGGGGGGGGGGGGGGCAGTTGCCCCCAATCAAAAAAAGTGGGAGGGCAAAACGTTAAATTTCCTAAAAATTGCGCATGCCACCTATATTTATCAATGGAGGTTTTTATAATAGCGATACGCGCCTATCGTGGACATATTTTGAGAGAATGGAAAGCGTGTCTGTTTTTGTTATAGGGGTGAGAAGACATGAGCCCCTGCGCATGAACGCTGGCGTACTGATGGGGGGGGGGGGGGGTATTTCTTATTCGCGACCAGTGATTTACAAATGTTGCTGACAATGAAATGAATTTTTTTTTGTAAGTCATACCTTTTTAACGTTTGTTCGAAAATCAGAAATTCCCCAATGTACAGTCGGGCGTAAAATATGCTAATTTAGCAGCCTTTATGTCATGGTCTGCAAAACCGCTGGGCTCGGGGGCTCGACCCCTCTCACTTTTCGAAAAAGTATGTTACAGAGAAAAAGAAAGAAAGAGAGAGAGAAAAAATTAAGTGACCTGCCAATATCACAAATGAGGTATCAAAATATGCATCTTGACCGTAATTAAAACTTGAAACCCCAGAGCTTACGGGGGCTCTGCCCCCGGACTCCACCAAGAGCCCTAAGGCGGTCCCCTGGATGCTTATCTGACCATAATAAAAAAAAAACCCGAGCTTCGGGGGCTCTGCCCCCTGGTCCCCACCAAGGCCTAAGGTGGGCCCTGGATGCTCATCTGATCGTAATTAAATACCTAAAATCCCTGAGCTTCGGGGGCTCTGCCCCTGGACCCCACCAAGGGCCCTATAGGCGGTCCCCTGGATGGTCATCTGACCTTAATTAAATACCTAAAACCCGAAGCTTCCGGGGGCTCTGCCCCCTGGACCCCACCAAGGGCCTAAGGTAGGCCCTGGATGCTCATCTGGCCGTAATAAAATACCTAAAATCCCTGAGCTTCCGGGGTGTCTGCCCCTAGACCCCACCAAGGGCCCTAAGGCAGGTCCCTGGATGCTAATCTGATCGTAATTAAATACCTAAAATCCCTGAGCTTCGGGGGGCTCTGCCCCTGGACCCCACCAAGAGTTCTAAGGCGGGTCCCTGGATGCTCATCTGACCGTAATTAAATACCTAAAATCCCTGAAATTAAGGGGGCTCTGCCCCCTGGACCCCACCAAGGGCCCTAAGGCGGGCCCCTGGATGCTCATCTGATCGTAGTTAAATATAAAAACCTCTGAGCTTCGGGGGCTCTGCCCCCTGAACCCCACCAAGGGCCCTAGGCGGGGCCCTGGATGCTCATCTGATCGTAGTTAAATATAAAAACCTCTGAGCTTCCGGGGCTCTGCCCCCTGGACCACATCAATGGCCTTAAAGAGGGACCCTGGATGCTCATTTAACTGTAATTAAATACCTAAAACCCCTGAGCTTCCGGGGGCTCTGCTCCTTGGACTCTCCGCCAATATTAGTGACCTGCCAGCATCACAAATAAGGTATCTAAATATGCTTATCTGACCGTAATTTAAAGCTTAAAACCGTGAGCCCCTGCCGAGGTTCAGGCCTGGACCCCAAGCCAATTTACGATCTACCTGATCGTTAATACTCCACTTTGAAAAACGTTCCGCAGGACCTGCATGTAATGTGTAATTAAGAGTGGTGGTAATCCAGATTTTTCTTCTGCCCCCCCCTTCCAAACTTTTTGGTCATTACATCACTGCCCCTGGAAGGTGAGCCCCCTGGAATGTTTGCCACCCCAATCCCAAACTGCTTCCGGCGCGCCTGACTGTCGTCATAGTCAGGCGCGTACACAGGGCGAGGGGGGGGGGGGGGGGGTTTGGGGTGTTAAACCCACCCCCCAGGACCAAAATCCAGTTGAAACCAATTGGAGCAAAACCAATTGAAACCAGTTGCCAACTGGTTTCAATAGGGAAATTGGAACAACTGGTTCCAATTGAAACCAGTTGCCAACTGGTTCCAATTGAAACCAGTTGAAACCAATTGCCAACTGGTTCCAATTGAAACCAGTTGAAACCAATTGCCAACTGGTTCCAGTTGCCTAATTGGTTTCAACTGGAACCAGTTGTTCCAATTTCCCTATTGAAACCAGTTGGCTTCAATTGGTTTCAACTGGTTTCAATTGGTTTCAACTGGTTTCAATTGGTTTCAACTGGTTTCAATTTGTTTCAACTGGTTTCAATTGGTTTCAATTGGATCCAATTGAAACTTACAGTTGGCATAAACTTAATTAGTTATAAGTTAATTAGCTCTTGCACCAATTATCGCTCATGTCAACACAGAAGCATTGTTATATGTGTCTACATTAAGTACAATGTAAAGGGCATTATAATATGCAGACCATATAATAAACTTAACAAGAAGGCATTGCCATTATATATGTTTGTATTTGATGTATTTTGTACATGGTTAGTGTTTTACTAATCAACTTATAATCTGTGTAATTACAAAAATATGTTACTAATGAACATGCTTTTCATTGCTAATTAATCTTTATATTTATCTAAAACAAATGCATTACTTGCAAATGAAAATTAATTAATAAGTACATTGTAAATCAAAATAAATTACATAAAACATTGATCTGCACACAAGCAGATAATATGCAAATTAACTGGTTTCAATTAGATCCAGTTGGGTAACTGGAAATATTTCCTATTGGAACCAATTGTGTAAATGGAAATGAATTCTAACTGGAACCAGTTGGGTAACTGGAAATTACTTCTAACTGGAAATGAATGCTAACTGGAACCAATTGGGTAACTGGAAATGAATTCTAACTGGAACCAGCTGGGTAACTGGAAATTACTTCTAACTGGAAATGAATGCTAACTGGAACCAGTTGGGTAACTGGAAATAAATTCTAACTGGAAATGAATGCTAACTGGAACCAGTTGGGTAACTGGAAATGACTTCTAACTGGAACCAATTGGGTAATTGGAAATAATTTCCAACTGGAACCAGTTGAGTAACTGGAAATGACTCCTAACTGGAAATGAATGCTAACTGGAACCAGTTGGGTAACTGGAAATGAATTCTAACTGGAACCAATTGAGTAACAGGAAAATCATCTTACTGTAGTTGGGTAACTGGAAATGACTTCTAACTGGAACCAATTGAGTAACCGGAAAAATTACCTTACTGGTTCCAGTTGCACTTCTTATTGGTTTGAACTGGAAATGAGTACCCATAACAATATTTTCCAGTTCGGCAATTGGTTTCAACTGGAAATTTTATATTCCAATTGAAACCAATTGAAACCAATTGAAATCAGTTGAAACCAATTGAAACCAGTTGGAGATTTCAACTGGTTTCAATTGGATTTTGGTCCTGGGCCTTTGGTATTTTTTGCGTGTAACCCCCCCCTAAAACCCCCTCCCATGGCTGACCTAAAATAGCTGATCTTACCCCCCCCCCCCCCGCTTATTCAGCGGCTGGGCTGAGTCGTTCCGAAATTTTCGGCCCGATTTATAAATGTTAACCCCCCCCCCCCCCCCTTGAAAAAATCCTGCGTACGCGCCTGGTCATATAGTATACATTTTATTAGGCAGAGAGTGAATGTTTTTTTTAGTTTTAAGGAGGAGGCCGATACGAGAGGCTAGTTATTCATCTTTAAAAGTTAATTGTGCAGCAAAGGCGTTAGAATATGCACTTAAAAATAATTGCAGTCAAAAAATATTTACAAAATATAATAACTTCATAATTATTGTTTGGGCAGGTTGAGCTTTTTCCAGGACGTGGAGTAAATTTCCAGTCTGTGCTCTTGATTTTCAACAAGAATGTGATTGTATATGTTTGTAAATTTGAGACTCTCAATTTGAGACTTTGAGTGCTATTTCAATTTTTTAACAAGCAGCTTTGTTGGTGAGATCGAGAGCTTACTATTTAAACAGTAGAATTTTATGCGGACGAGTTGTCTACAAACCTACAATACGTGCGGCGTTTACCGTAGTGAGCGTGTCGTTGTATTATTGGACGAAATCCTAGACATGTTCGCTACTCCTGTTGATATTTCCTTATAAGTTATAGATGTTGTTGAACGATATAATGAATGAAAACGATAGTTTACTTGTTTTGCTCCACGTTTCCATAGCATTGCCTTGAGATAAAATCAATTAAATGGTCGAGGTGCATGGCTCTAGCTATATTGCATGCCCCTAGCTATACCCAAATAATAAATAGAAAACATTTAGGCCTGCATGAATTTAGTGAGGTAATTCTACCAAGGAAAAAGAGAAAGAAAAGAAAAAAACATGACCTAGCATACTTGACTCAGAAGCCAAATTTTTTTTAACATGACATACCTATAATTGCTTTCATTACAGCAGCTTATAAACACATATCAGAATATCCACTGAACTAAAATATAGAACAAAGACACAAAAATGCGGTTATTTGATTTCTTACACCTGCCATAAACAGATTTAATGTTGACAATATTTTCCATCCTCTTTGTGGCAAAATAGTGTTTCTCTCTCTCTTGTAGAAAATATACCACAATACACAGGATGCAGACAGTGCTGCAATTCCTAATTCTCAATTACATATATTACAAAAAGTAAACAAGACATCAATTACACACATATATATCCATTTCAATAAACAAGTACATTCCTTACACAGCGAATAAAGATTCATGAACACATGCAGACTGCAATAGACTTGGCGTTCATGAGTTTCCTTCGACCAAAAGGCTACCTGAAACATTTCTACCCTTTTGAAAATCTCTCATTTTACAATAGAAAATGGTTCTTTATACTACATATAGGCCTACACGCATGTATTCTATAGTATTCATGTGATACACCACTGTTACAATCTATAGCTCTTGATTGTCCAGAAGTGGAACAGGAATCAAAATTGATGATCCCTGTTATTTTGTTTATCTGGCCATTAACATGATTTCTGTCAATTCATTGAATACATTGTGGTGAAAAGAATTGAACTAAAATGAGTGCATTAATGAATATTTCTTTTTATTAAGAGTCAGAAAGGCATTATTAACTCTAAGTAAAAGCTTAAATATCCTTCTGGCTCTCAGTTGGTTTCATTGGCCGACGGTTTTTACTTGGCCAGTACATGTCATACAAAGACGTCTAAAGTTCACTCCATGCATGCAGAGCATGATGCCTCGAGTTCAAATCTACCCAACAATCTTTTCTTATTAGGTGCTATCACACAAAAAATGTTTAACTTTTTCCTACAATCAGCCACTTCTAGACAGAAGACAGTCAGCTTATTACCCAAATAAAAACTAAAAAGACCTGTGGTTGTGGTTAAAAGAGATTTTCTCAAAAATAGCAACATGAACAACACATCTGAGATTGATGACTGAATTGAAATATTTACCATATTTTGAAAGCAAAAATATATAGATGAAACTGTGGAAAATGTATACATTTACACATTAACATGGTTGCATAGTACTATGTTTTTACTCCTTTACATAAGGAATAATAACTAATCATTTTGATTGTCTCAACAGCATCTTTATACATTTACTCCAAAACTGTTCAATCTTAGTTCTATATTCTCTCTACCCAGATTGCATGATACATTTACAATGCACAATATAGTGCAACAAACTTTGAAGAAGGAAAAAAGTCTAGAAATTTGGTTGAGAGGTACATGTACTACTAATAATAGCACTGGTGTATGTCGTGCTAAATTCAGACTAGTAAATTATACAACTCTTGATGATATACCTACTACGTGAGTAGTGGAATAAAGTATGTCTGTTTTCATGGATATTCCAAAACCTCAAAAATAATAATAATTTCATGTTCAAAATGTTGAAACCTATTAATAATTTATTGGAAAAAAGTTTGGAAATACAGCTGGCTTTTCCGTTAGGCATATTTTATAGAATGTTTGTTCGCAGACCTCAATGAAGGATATTCCATGAGTTATTTATTTAATTTTGCAGAAGGTATAGGGTTATACAGTGGAAATTATTGTAAACAAAATTTCTGGCCAATACCACGATGTGAACATTTTTCTAATCTTCATTCCATGCTATCAGTTATAATGAGTGTGTATTGTAGGAGACAAACACTGAATGAAACGTAACAAGGTGCAAAGCATACTCTTCCTTAACAGATAGATTTCAAAAGTCATCTTCGTAACTACAGTGGAACTGTAAAGCTCAATAAAACACACTACACCAATGTGGCAGACTTTGCAGTGCAGTACCATTCAAACATACATGTAGTAATATGATACACCAGTCACCAGCACATAATTTTGTTTACAACAAAACTTGTGAAGAAAAAATATGTGACTGCGAGCTAGAATTTGTCGACGTTTTTTTAATATCAAAATATATGATTTAAAAGCATACATGCATTGATATGCCCAAGTTTCTTGCACTTTCAAATATATTTTGAACTGTCAAAATATGAGAAAATATTAATATTGGCAAATTAAAAATGTGACGTAGGTAACAAAAAATAGTTATATGAATGAAGTTGTGATAAAAACTTCAATAAGCAATTGTTAAAGGCGACATTTTTTCAAGAAATCTCTGTGTGTATATGATATGGCATAAGGTATTTAACAGTAGAAACAATAATTGCAACAGTTGATATTTTATGCAAATGTTCTTAAGAATGTTCAATCACATCCCCCCTCCAAACAAAGAAATCTGAATTGTGTGTTGGCCACTTGCTGTACCCAATTCTAAGTGAGAGAAACAACACTTTCAGCATATTCTTCTACAGCCTTTTTCACTAATATAAAATGGGCAAGTACAATGGTTGATCTACATTTCACACAATGTCATAAATTTCTTTTGACAGGTCTTAATGTATCAGATAAGATTGTAAAGTAATCAACAACAGCAAAAAGAGTGTGGGGCGTAACATTTGTTAAGTCTTTTTGTGAAAAATACAATTTGCTTTATTACTCTATAGAAACAAGAGAAAAATACATTTGTTTTTAATTTTCATTGGCTTAATATCAAAGGTATGCAGGCTGGTAAGAGAGCAATGGTATGACATTCTTTTGAAGACATCAAAACAAAAATTAGAACAGAAGGAATAGTAAACAACGCACATCAAAAACATTTCTCCTCGCTATCCTTTCTTTAAAAATTGTTTGTCTCACTAAGTCTCACTAAAGGTTAGACTTTGAGAATATAATCAAAGTATTCAGTAATATATATTTTTTTTCTTCAGACCAAAGTATGCCCCTAAATATGCCAGCACTTTGAGATATAATTGCTTCATTCAATAATGGAAATTGATTCTGACAAAGTTATCAATATAAAACATTAACTTCAAAGATATAAGTATGCTGTAAGCCCACGTCTGAAGTTTACACCCCCTTCCCATATAGCTTTGTAAACATGTAACAATACCTTTTTCATACAAACATAAAGCATATGATTAGAATGAGACTGCAATAGTAGTTGATCACATGTGCCAAATTGTGATAAGATCTTAGAAATTTAATCAAATTCATCAAAAGTATGGCGGAAAGCCATTTTACCTGAGAAAATGTTTACACAATGTGAACTTGATGAATGATTGAGATGGCTTTGGAAGGTGAGTACAAGCAGAACAAATTAAATATGCAGCCTAGAAACTACTAGATTACACACACACACAGAAGTGCTTAAATCAACAGAAAAAGAGATTTATAAAGATCCTCCCCCCCCAAAAAAAAAGACAAAAATATACCACATTAGGACCATCTGTACTGCAATATTTTCTGTATTGTGAAGATGCTTCTACAGTAACAAAATTTGAATACCTTGAAAATCTAGGAAATAAATCATATTCATGAACTAAATAATTTGAACAGCCAGCTTGCCTAGATTTAGGAGATGAATAGGTGTAATTGCATTCCGTATATTACAAAAACACTTCAGAAAATCATGAATGATGATTAAAAACAGAATTACAGTACTTCTTCTATCAAATGGTAATTTTGTCTTGTTAATATTAATGTCTTTTTTGTCCTTTCTTTGTAGGAAACAGAGCGACAAATTCCATTTCTTGTCTACATCCATCCTTTGGCAGCCAAATAGTGCATACAATTTACTAATAATAAACAAATTAACAGATATGTAAGAAAATTGGTGTTATTACATTTTAACCAAGACAGGTGCCACATTACAATATATAAACTTTGAGATGAAACCAAGCTAGCCCTATTTCATATCTATACTCTAAAGCCAACCCTTTGCTCAGATGCACACAGTAAACACAAGTTGAATGCAACATGCAGCAACCACACTATATTGCTGCTACATAAAAATAGATTTGTATAAAAATAATTTACATAAATTTGGTCCAGCATATTGTTGAAATATGACAGCAGTATCAATCGTGAAATACACTGTACGCTCACATGCAATTATCTAAATAGAGTTCTGTTACACATGAAACAAAAATTGACTATTTCTGTGAAGGTGTGTGGCTTTCATATTATGCAAATGGTACGGTACCAGAATATGTTCATCTGTCATAAATACAACTTCAGTGGATCCTGGAAAGGTAAAACCTCGATTACACATTTATCACGAAAACTATGCTACTCTAATACAAAATTATACAAAGATTACAATAAACTCCACATACATTATTTCTAACAACATATGCATTACTTTTACACTGCTTCCAGATTATGTAGAAACAGAAGAACACCTTCCAGTTGTTGTACCCTTGACAGAGAGTGTAATGACATCATCAGCCAATGGAAGGGATCATCTTCCAACAACCTACAACAAACAGTTGCCATCGCTTCAAATCAATCGCAACCCTATACTAAAGAGATACGACTTTGTAAGTTTGCGATTGATTGGAGGCTTTGCGATCAATGTGGATCATTCGTAGCTGTTTAGACTGGCTGGAAGCCACAAGGTATCTACAAGTACATGCGCAAGCCGGATACGTTAAGTACTCCAATGCAGCAAGCAATGGTGGGGAAAAAAGTGTCCTGGTTCATATACCTTATTTATTGGGACTAAAAATTCTGTGTGACAGTGTGTGAAAAATAAATGAGAACAATTCTAAACATGCCTTAGGTTCTTCTATTTAAAAAATCATCAGTTCAGATCCAGAAGTGCATTATCTCTGTGTTAAAAGCATGTGAGTTAACACTCTTGTGGCTCAAAATTGAAAACTTGCAAGGTAGAAGAAACAGTGAAGGTTGAATTTGGAGAAACTGAAATATTGAGGAATAAAGCTAATACAGACCACTTTTGATGGGGGCAAATCAGTTAATTCTTGATAGCCATTTCATAGGAGAAAACCTAGTCTGAAATACCTTTCCAGGGTGTAATTCCATTGGGGCAGAAGAGAAAGAAAGAAAGAAAGACAGAAAAGATTAACTCATCCCTACACTGTACATCAAATGCAAAAAATAAAAGTAATAAATTCAACAGGTATGAAACTTGTAGATAAATTTGACACAAATTGCAGTTCAAGCAATTCCCTTAGAAATAATGTTTGAAATAATTCAAAAAACTGGCATGTCTTCTCATTTGGTCCCACAGACAGACAAAACACATTTCCTTGTTGAAATAACTTTCAACACCATGAAAAATTCATCCTTTTCAAACATGTAAAGAAAGTACCAGGTACAAAGAGAAGCAGATCAAGCTATGTGCAAATGTTTGTAAAAGAATACATGCACAGAAATACACGACATAAAAACAGGTAAACAAGGTGACACAGAGACTTACAGAGTGCAGAGTAAGGGTTGTATCATGTTCCTAAAACTACATGTAGTTCATCCTTAATTCCTTGTTGAAGGCCAACTGATTGTTGCTAACTTTGAGAGCTGTTATACAGCAACCATGAATAAGTTAATATGAAGATAAATCATATGTACCATAGTGATCTCACAGATTGAAAAAATATACAATGGTGCTAATTAAAATATGGCTCTCTATGGAGCACCGATAGAATCACTGCCTGATATATTTATATAAGTGCTCAACAAACTATACTTTGATGAGAATGAATGCTCAGCTGGCTCTCAATGCTTGAATCATCAAAATGGCACCTTTGTATTTCAATCTGCATAAAGTATAACTGTCTCCAAATTCTTCACCTTTTTAAAAATCATGGTTTCAGTTATTGTTTGATTCTCTGGGCTCCTTTCTGTATAACAGCTCTAAAAGTAACTCCCCACTATCAAAAGTAATTTACTTAATGAGGCACAGTAACGCCACATCTGTACCTGTCATTCTTGACAAAAATAAGAAATATTAAAGCATGGCTAATCTATTCAAAATGGCTTCTGAGAAAGAATTTAGGGTGTAAATATTCCAAATGTACATATGAATCTCAACATAAACAAATATACAAAACATTGTCAAACTAAAAAAATTGAATACTCTCGACATAAATTGGTAATATTTTATGAGCCACGAGCGGCTTGATATGTCACGTTCCTTGTTGTTTGATGATAGGAGGTATGTTTTTGATATTGGGTGCAGTGTAGGGAGGGGTAGGAATCCCACTAGTAGGTTGAGGTGAAGGCAGACCAGGTGCGAATCCACTTTGCTGCTGTGGAATATGGTTCTGGGTAATTCCTGCTACCACAGAGTTAAAACTTGGCAACTTCTGGGAACCCATTGACTGACTCGTATGCACGTTGTAAGGGAGTCCGCCATTAGAGTTGATGCCGTTCACAGCTGGTACACTGTTTGAATTGGTACGGCGCAAGGCATTCTGAATGTTGGAAACACTACTCCATGTTTGCCGGAAACTGGGTAGGGCTGCCTGATGAGCAGCCTGAGAAGGGGTTGGCGCTGATGCACTTGGGCTCATTCCAGATGAAGCGTTAGGGCTAGCTTGTGGCAAGGTGGTTGTGATGATTTGTGGACTCTGAGGTGACATCATAGGGTGAGGCACCTGCTGTCCTCCATGCGGAGACAACATAGGTTGAGAGATAGGGAACGAGGGCACCATTGCACGATTGCCACTTATGACTCCATTGAGGACAGTGTGACGCAAGGAATCATGATGGTTTTCTGTCGTTGCAGCTGTGGTGCTGAGGGTGTTCTGTGTCAGCAGAGATTGTGTCTGAGGGATTACAGGACCATTGAATTGAGCAACACTGTTCGTAAACACCCCATGGCCTGCCAGAGTGCTAGGTAGGGTGAAGGCCTGGCCAGATTGTGCTGTGGCAGACATATTACTCAAAGGCACTGCATTGGTGAGATTAGAGGACGGTGGCTTGATTGCATTATGATTAGAACCATCATTCGAGTTCTGTCTCATGGTATCAGCTATAAGTCTATTTGCTGCAGATTGAAGATCGCTGGGGAGTCCATCTGAACTATCCTGGCTGATGGCAGCCTCAGTCACATCTCCTGGCAGCGAGTTGCTATTTTCTTCTCCGTCGTTAAAGAGCTGCTCCAGAGAAAGCTTAGCATCATTGACATCCTCTGATGCTTGAAAGAATGCACGCTCCAAGGCTTCTGCCTCCTCCCTTGTAGGCAGGAAATCACCATTCCTTCCTGAAATGGTTCACAAACGGAAAAGGATTAAATATATGTTTACTTTCACTAGCAAGACAAATTTGACTTTTTTTATGAACCTAAATCTTGTTTGTTTTGTTCTTTTTTTGACATACAAGAATCAAGGAAGTTATGAGAGGGGGTAGGTTCATGTACCCTCCCAGTTTTCAGCCACAAAGATACAGCATTTTATCAATAAGCCCATGAAATTTCCTTTCTCTATCTCAAAGGTAAATTTGTTGTCAAAAGATTAGCAAATTTCCTGGCTACAGAGTCACATTAGCTCACAAGGATTTTCTTTCTTCCAAATACTGTTTGCAATGAATCTTTGGTGGAGAAAAGAATCTTTTCCTCTGGTATCTAGTTAAAAATATGACTTGGTTACATATCCTGCACCAAAGCCCAGGAAAACCTCAATAGTTTTTGATATCCGAGGATGTTATGCTGCTTCACAATCTAGTTGTTGTCTTTTTTTCTCCTGTTTTTTTCCTATTATATTCTAGTATCATGATTACCTTCAAAGATGTCATTCAGGTTTTGTAGAACGCTTGAAAGAGCTTCCTCCTCTGCATCTGAGTTGAGGTCTTCAGGAGGTGACTCCACTGCCTCTGCATTCATGACTTCTTCCAGAGCAGACATGTCCATCAGATGGACAGGGAGATCATGGGCACCAATGCTCCTGAATGCAGGGGTGTGAGGTGGGGGATGTGGAGTAGCCACAGGGATCACAGGGGTGCTGCTGATGGGTAGCTGGTAGTTTTGCAGAGGTTCTGAAGAGAAAGCAGGGAAGATGCAAATTATTTTACATACACTATGGGGTTATCAGCTACACTTGTAATGGCATGGTCTCCCACTACCATACCCTTTAGTAACAAGGAAACATTTACTAGTGGTGGTGGTTATTTTACCAGACTGCTAAGAAAGAATTAATGCTTGTTAGTAAGCAACCAGATGGCCGACGGCTTTAGGTCCTCTCCGAGGGACCTGGTAATGAAGATTAATGCCTTACCAAAGGGCACTAGCGCATCGACTTGTTTCGTACTCGGGTCACCGGATTACGAGGCCACTGCTCTACCAACTGAGCTATCGCGCCTCCATATTTTAATTGCTTTCAGGGTTGTAATCAATTATCTATAGATCATGGGTCTCGTGAGACATGACGTGCAAAACTTGACAGTCAAAATTGTACTCTTCTCGCTCAAGAATGGTATGAACTTGAACACCAATGTCACAGCAGACCAATATTTGTATTTTAAAAATATATATAATGACAGCTGGATTTTGAAGACGAAAAAAAATCAGTCTGAAGTCAAGTTGGCTTCAGCATCATGGATTGTAGCAGCCTTCTCAGTAGAATTGTTATATCCTCGCAAATTGATTGACTTAACCACCTTCTATTGAAAGGCATTGTGTTGCAGAACCTCATGCATTTTTAAGAAGTTAATGATGCACTGACATATCAACAACTGTTGTCAAGTTGACATTGCTTCTTTTATAATTACATTTATTTTGGTTTGATTATAAGATGGCTCATATACATGTATTTGAAAGGATCCTGTTTAGTAGTTGGTCCATGAATACAAGAATATTCTTGCATACAATTTTGGAAATAAAGCATTGGAGATTGAGGTTATAATGGGATATATTACAATTTTTACCCTTTGAATATCCACTTCAAAATAAGCCCTAAGGAAAAAAAAGAGCTTTTTCTAGAACTAGTGGCTGGAACAACAGGTAAATTCTCCAATTTAAAAAGAATTTAGTTCAAATTCTGACATGATAGGTCTAAGAAAGCATACAAAAGGAATGTCTTACCAAGTGGAGGTATTGGTTTCTGTGGTCGGTACTTCCTGCGCTGGTTCTTCTTTTTCTTCTTGAAAGGCCTGGTTAGAGCTGAAGGCTTGGTCTTCTTTCTTGGTCTCTTTGACTTTGGTTCCATTCGCTTCAAAGTTGAAATGGTTTCAAGAAATTGATTAGAAACTCAAGAACAATCAAACACAGCAAGAAGGATGTTTCAATGTAGTATTAGTATTTACCTACCGATTTTTCATGTGATAAAGTAATGCTTTTTGAAAATTGATAATTATAAGTTTTCATTATTGCCATATTTGTAAGTTGGCTATTCCCTGGCATCTGGCAAAGGCTGAGGTTATTGAATTGTCAAATGGAAACCTACATATAAGTCATTCTCAGCGAGTTTCCATAGGCATAGTGTTATTCTACAACACTTATAAAGATATGTAAAATAATATTTAGAGACAAAATCTATCATTTCATAAAATACATATAATATTCTTACCACTCTCTTGGCATGTTCCTGGCATAGAGGCTGCTCATTAAGCATGTCAAAACTTGGCTCAATACAGCGGAATCCTCCTGGGAATTCAGCACCACACTGGTAGAACAATACTTGATCTTCATCTTCAAGTACGTCTGTATATTAGTTTACTATTAAGGATTATATCTCACTTGATTTTTTAAACTTGTACTTCCTGCTTAAGCTCAATGCTTTAGAAGGTAATGCACACTGTTGATAAAAGTAAACTGGGTAACAAGAAGAAGAGTTTTTTATGTTCAGTGATTTCAGATTCACCTATGGGGGTAGAACGAGAGCTCCCAAAACTTTGCTCTGGAAATGCCTTCATTTTCGACAACTAACACATCTAGCAATGATCTCTAAGATGCATTCATCACAGCTATGGTATATATTTCATGTTGTGGCACATTTAACAAATTGTGAATATCGTAATTAACGTTGTATAAACCGCCCTCATGTATTAACCGCACCCCTCTTTTTCGCCCTCAAAAAGAAAGAAAAAAAAAGAAAACAAATTTGGGCGACTCTGTCGGCAGCAAGCCAGGTCCGTGTTAAAACCCACGCAGGAAGGCCTTTTATTTAACTGCTAAGTGCTGTTGAATGTGTAAGATCATTAATGTAAATTAAAAAACAGTAGAGGACCTAGGATAGAACCTTGTGGTACGTGTTTTGTGTAATAGAAGAAAAATTGGAGGAATTATTATTATAACCTACATATTGAGATCTATCAGAAAGATTACTTTCAAACCAAGATGACAGACAAATTTGAGTGTTGTTCTAGTTTTCGAGTGGTGAGTCAACACCGATTACTGAGCTGGGAGACTTTGCCAGGCATAGCGCCAGGTGGAGGGGCATAAATCAAAACTTTATTATTTTTTTTTTTTTTGTACCTGTGTATAAGACGCACCCCGACTTGGAATTTTTTTCGGCGGCAAAAAAGTTGGTTAATACAACGTTAATTATGGTACCAAAAAGATGAAATTGTCATGAGCAATTCAGAGATAGGCTTCTATGTATGTTGATAAATCTCAAGATAATGAAGGATTGGGAACCCCCCCCCAAAAAAAAAAAAAAAACAAAAACAAAAACAAAAAACAACAACAACAAAACCCCAGTGTATTAAAAAGAGGGATCAGCTCTTAAACATTTTGGCTCACATGGAGTTATATGTCAAAACATAACTCTTTGAATAAAAGGATACGTCTGAAGCAGTGCTTGCTGTATGGCATAGCCTCCTCTTGGCAAGGATCATCATTTTCTTCTTTACTGCAGCAGATCCTCTCTGGAGGGGCCTGAGGCTTGGGCCTACAACAATATTAGAAACTCAGTCAATTCTTGATCAATATCATCTCATGAAATAATAATGATGTAACAAGACAAGTAAGTCTGAGGTGAATCTCAATCATTTTCTACATTTACAAATCTAGTAGAATAATCAACACCAAGAACAACAATATTTGTTGATATCTAAGCATGTCTAGAAATATTCTACCTATGAAATCGTGAAACTAGTATCTAGGAGGACCATATTCAGATTGAAATCATATAGAATCATATTTTATCAAAGTAAATGCAGGTCATTTAAACAGCTACCATATTAACTACAAACACAATTTATTTGATAGAGACAATACTGCTAAAAACAATCAAATTTGGAGGATGAAATCATATGAAGTCTCTTTGGAATTTCAACTATCACACAATTTGCCTATTGATGTAAGACATTTTGTAAACACTAGAACAAGTATACATCCAAAATAGCCCAGATAACTCACATTAATTTTGCTCATAGCTAAGAATAATCATGGATACTAAATAAAAAATTAGAGAGAAACAGAAGATTATTGCATAATACCTCCACATTTCTTACAACACTATGTTGAGCGTACCTTTGTAATGTCTCTTCTTGAACCCTGAGTATAGATACAGCTGTTCCAAAGGGATGGTCTCTGGCAGCATCAGCTAGGAGTTTACTAGAACATCTCATGTCTCTCTGCTCATGCTCATCACATTGTATACCAAGTTCTAGCTTCCTTCTATCTCGCTGGAGGTGATTTTTCAGCTGCTTCAATCTGCTGTGCCGGCTCAATGGGCTATTGGTTTCATCAGTACTGGATATGTGACTGAAATACATACAATCAATTATTGTAATTGCTTTTTTATGTTTCATTCTCTTTAGAAACACTTTCTCTCCGAGATGTGTGAGTTTGTATTGGTATTTAATGAAAGAATGTCAATAAATACCATAACTAGATATTTAAAATCTTTGTCACATGCCTGTATGATTCATGTGATGGCTGAAAATAAATTCACAGAATCAGTCATCATACAAAACCAATACAGGAGCCACAGAACATTTTTGGAAATAGCATCCGGAGCATGCCAAGGACCATATTTTCTTTTAGTGCCCCAATATTGTAAGTGTCTCTAGCTGTACGAGAATCCTTTTTTTCTATTTCTTTGGAAATATAATGCACCTTTCTTGCGACCTCAAATTTCTAACTAACAAACTATAAATATTTCTAAACTTCTACCGAAATTTCCAAAATACTACTCAGGCAAAGATTTACAGTACATATAAGTAAATTGAATAATCTACGATAGGTTGGCATGTCTTGAGAACAGAAGACAAGGAAGACATTACTTACCTTACACTATATTGTTCTTTACATGTATTTCTACACCTTCTGTCTGTAACCTCCTCACTCTCTTCATCATCTGTGTCTGAAAAGTCTAAACCTGCAATAACAGAATGTCAGGGAAAGAAAGATCTATGTCAATCTAGACAATATTGTGAGCTTGTAATTTAAGGTTTTCATGGTATAAGATTGGATTTATTGAGTTAAATTTATCCTTTTACATGAATTTTGAGAATTTCATGTTAAATGAGCAAACAGTATAAGATACAAATGATACATCTACAGCAGTAACAGATTGACTAAGTCTAATTGATATTTTTCATGATATTTTTTAGAACTGCCCAGAAATATTAAAGAGAAATTAAAAACTTGACAGCAAATTGCTATGATGGAAAGCAGAGAAGCTAATTGGTGAATATTAGAATCATACTGAATAAAAAAAGTAGGTACATGTAGTTGTGATTGTTATTATTTGAAATCACTAGATATATTGGAATTACAGATTTGTGTTTTGGTATAAATGTCAAAGAGATGTAATGTGAGACCGATCTCCATTATGTCCTACACACAAATTCTTCCACATCTTATTGACATGGAGGCTCTTTCTTTATTGCAGAAAGTGAAAAGTCACATTGGAGATAAATGAACATTTTGGTAATTTGAGATTAGCATTAGTATAGAGGTCTGGGTTAACAAACATTCCACACCTTTCTCTTATTTATTCAGCTTCTTTCAAACTTTAACAAACTTGTGTCTCTTGATTTTTGTTTCATTAAACTGCTTTTTTAATTATTCATTTGTTCACAAGCTAGTATTCTCTAAAAGTTCAAAGGAATTAAATGCCACAAACCTAAGGGAAATATATCAGTCCTCTCATCTTCATCAAGCTGAAGACGTTCTCTTAGCAGGTCAACTGCTTTTGAGTCTAACTTGCGAGCAAAGAGATCTCTTGGGTGCTTCCGTTGAAGCTTCACAAATGCCTCCCTTGGCGAGGAAATATGCTGGGGCATCTGGGGCCATGGAAGGTTTGGGACTCGTCCTTTACCCTCAACCAATGGAGGTATGAGGGGAAGGAATTTCTGGGAATCGAGGTATGAAGAATTTTTGTACTGTGCTACTCCACTATCAAGTAGATTGTTAGTGTGTTCCAGGGAAGCAGCATTGGTGAATTGTGTGTGCTGCATAGATTTGGCAAGAATTTCTTTTTCTCGCTGTTGACGCAATCTTTGCTTGTTCCTCTCCAACTTCTCCTGAAGTCTTTCATGTAGCGTGCTGCCATCCCTCCTTCTCTTTGATTTCGTCTTGATTGCTCTTTCTATTGAGTTTGAGTGAATTGTAAGATTGTCAGCACCAATCACAGCACTGGCAAAATCTGGTGGCCTACTTCTGCACATTAAACTAAGGTCATTCAATTCAAAATTGCCTTTAGAGTTAAACATCACATCATCTAAAATTGATCTATTCCCCCTTTTCTTATGCTTTTCTTTCTTCTTCTTTTTCTTTTTCTTCTTCTTTTTGTCCTTTGATTTCTTTTTGTGCTTTTCTCTCTCTTGACTGCCTCCCTTGCTGCCTGCATTTGATGAGTCATTTCTGCAATCATTTCGACTGTCTGGAGATTGGTCCCCTTTTCTCTTTTTTCCTCTCTTTGGTACCAGTCCCAAGACCTGCATGTGGCTGTTACAAAATCTGAAAATAGCAAAACAGAGAGAGTAAATTAAGCACTACTAGAGTTCCTAGCATTTCTCAATAAAAAATATCTCCAGGAAGAAAGAAAGCAAATGTGTTGATAAAGCATTGCAAAACAAGTTATAGAGTGCTTATAGCAGTTGAGGAGTAGAGCAAGAACATTAATCATTTTAAATGTATGTGTACATTCTACAAACAAGATACAAAAATAGACCTTTACCATATTGAGGTAATTCATTTTACATTTGCACAAGTGGAAAAACAGGTTTAGTACACAACATAACATAAACATTAAGGTTCATTCATAATCGTTCACACTTTGTGGATAACTGATCTTACCAAGATAAAATTTGCATTTCAAGTATAACATGAAGAAACAACCCAGCACAGGCTGCACAGCACATGTACAATTATGACACCTGTACGAATATGACACATGTATCATTCATTAATGATGACCACAAGCACCAGACATAAAGCAAAAAGTGTAATAAATCAATAATATAGAAAATACTACCCCCTCCCCCCTTTCTCCATTACCAGCCAAACCCGGTGTGATCACGACCTGTGTACCGGTATGCTGTTCACTGTCTTGGAAAATATATCTACTGATTTGGATTTATTAGAATAGTCTGCAAGGGTTCTAAAAGGACTAAGCAACATAGTGCAACATTGTGTGCTGGATAAAAACAAGATGTTACTGTATGAAAAATATAAAAATATTCCAGAATGGAATGCCTGAAATTAATCTTGTAATGAAGTCAGATCATCGTCCAAATGCACAGCTATATTTACATGTACTTACTTTCTATTTTCTTCTCCAGGGATGGGATTGGTGCAGCGCAGTTTATTGTACTTTGCTTCAAACTCGCACTGCTTGAAGGGAGCAGATGTATCTTCCAACACATGGCGAATGCAAAAAGCATAGCCGTTGAGGCGCCGCTGCTTGCACAACTTGGCACTGTACGAACATAGTGGCTTGTTGTCAACTTCTGAGAAGTGAATATGCTTGCCTTCGTACATCACGTGAGTGCCAACATTGGCTGGAAAATGAAAGTATAAAGTATGTTAAGTCATTTCCCATCTAAAAATCAGGGAAATACGAGAATACATAATTCACATAAACTTAGATCAGTAGATACATGTAGACAGGTCACTGAAGTCGATACAATTACAATTGTACAGAGTACTGTAAGTCGGTACTTGACATTCATGATGAAATATATCAAATGAATAAAATTTATTTTCTGACAAGAAAAGAAAAAGAAGAAAAAAAATGGCTAAAGACTTGTATTTTATCACTTTGGTTGGAGCTACTGTAGTCGGCAGTGGCCATTTGCATTAAATTGAGAGGCTGACACATGTTCTTGAGTCAAACAGACCTGTTGAGAAGACTAATTGATGCATAGGTCCACGCTCACATCCAATAGAGTGCACACAGAGCCCAAACTGGACTTGGGTTCTGACGTTCTGTATGCAGTCTTTATTATCATGTATTTTCTTCATACGATAACCGTTAACCTATCAAGGCCAGGTAAAGTTTTTTCAAAGGTTAATTTGATACATTCTAGCTACATGTATACCGGTACACAAATCTATTTTTTAGGTGATCCGTTAACGTTAAAAATTGAGTAGCTTGGTGTTACTTTCAAAACAAGTGGTAAATTACCAAAAGTAGAGAGTCCTACATGTTTTTAGTCATGCACTACCGAGACTTACATTTTTGATGAATTTAATAGTGACATTTACATCTTAATATGTAGATCACTATTAACATTGGAGATTTTTTTAATCTAGTAGCATTGGGGATGTTTGTCTGGATGCTTGTAAAAAATAATGCCTAATTGAAAAGTATTCATCAATTGGCACTTACCAATTACCATCATAAATATTTGTCTTTATAATATTGTCCATCAGAAGTCTTAAAATATGTATGAAATTTGGAGTCAAACTTCCTAAAATTACTGTTTTAATTCAACTGTCTAGATAGACAATCAGTCCGGAAACATAAGGTCTGGGTATATACTGTGCTGTACGTTATCATTGAAATTTAAGGTTAGATTTTGGTTGAGGTCTCCAATAATAAACAAGATTGCAATGTGCATATTATACATATTCTATTTCATACTTGTATATGTGCATGTATGTGTAGTTCTGAACAAGGAATTACTAATACTAGGCAATTAAGCTTGCCAATTAGGCGACTTCTACTCTAGTTTGAACTTCCTATTATGGCCACTGGCCCATAAGCTGTATATCGATCTGCACCTTACAAATGCATGTGATGCAACACAAACTTAACTTCTGAGGTGACTGAGTGAGCAGATGACTGAGAATATCATTAAGGTTTGCCCCAAATTATATAAATTTTCGTTAATAAAGATTGTTCTATAATATAATCATTGGTTTAAATTTGAGGTAAAATGAACATTATACATGTATAGTTTTGTAATCAGTCACAAAATCAAGATTTGTATTCATTTATTACATAACAGACCCTTTAAATGTGACAAACAAATTTCACACAAGCATTTAGAGTGACTTGAAATTGTAGTGGTCTAGACCCTGTGTACATGTAAGTGTTATTGATGTTTGTCGGTTGTGATATTTTTCTCCAACTCAACCTAGAGATTAGGCAGAACCAATTTAGATAAACAAAAACACATATACTGAATTAGAGGATATGAAGCGTTTGAAAACAAGGTGGGAAGCTTAAACAGTTATAATAATATAGACAGTCGCCCACAATCATGCTCATCATCACAATGTAGTCTACAACCTGTATCACAACATGTGTCCAATTCTAAATAAAGTTTTCACAGACTGTACTAGACCTATATGGCTCTCGCTAGACCAAAAATTTCTGTCTCTTTCGTCCGTTAGCCTCTGATTTGGGTAGAGGAGCCGACCTTACCCAAATCAGAGGGTAACGAACAAAAGAGACAGACATTTTCGGTCTAGGCTCTCGCACTCACAGGTCTGTTTCCGTAATCTGCAGTGCAGCTCGTCATAATAACATTATTCTTAATCTTGCATTTAATTGCAGCCCAACTTTATCCTGATAAAACGTCAAGCGATATAAACATTATTAACACTGCATTATTTATCTAAATAATTTTTGTTAGTTAGTTTTACTTCAGATTTTAGTTTTAATCATTATTGTTAAAATTAGAAATTCATGATTGTCAGAACTTGTGCCAAATCACATGCCTACTTATTATGAGCATTTAAAAAATATCAGTCTGTGTAAAAATCTGAAGTTTTACTATAAAAAATAAAACATACTAGGGTCTATAGATAGAAAAATAAAAAATAAAATGTTCCCAGTGATATTTTTTTTCAGGATTGTGCCAGACGTGCATGCATAGCCTGATCATGGAGAAACCGATTACGCGAACTCACACGCACCGCGCCCTATCTAGCCCTGATGAAAATACCTGCAATATTCGCACACAACCACACACACACTTCAATGAGCTGTTAAGCCAGACCAACACACAAACAGACCACGCCCAAGATAAGAATTCCATAAGAAATACTTACAATATTAAGGATTGAAATTCATGATAAGATCACTAAAATTCCTGTCTTGTTTTCGTCATTAAAATTACATCGAATAATGGGGGAAATCCCATAAATTCCGCCTTCACACGACGAAGGGGAAATATTGCAATAATTTCACGAAAAAATAACAACATGATAAAGAACTATTTTCACTGAAATTTTGTCAATAATTATAATCCAGGGCCATAAAAATACAATGACTTACCGAAGCAAAAGTGGTAAAATACCGCAAACTTATGGCTAGAAATTGAACGATTTTAGGCGAAGACGTAATTTTCAAAATGGCGGCGGTGTTTGCGTGCTCGTCAGTGCATAATATAGGGCGCAGCAGCTGCTAACAATACAACGACAGTCCCGATCTCTGTGTATCATAATCTACATGAGGCATCTCGCTCAACTTGCATGCCTTGGCGTAGTAAGATCATTTAGGAAGACCTTATACATTTCCATTCTAAAATCGATGGAAATAAGTTTGAATTTACTTTTGAAACATCAAAATACATTCATTAGATATTAAGTCAAAGGACTGTTGTATTCAGAAGAAATAAATGTGCATTTTCTCATACTTAGAACACATTTTCATGAGTAAGTCAGCACAAGAAAACAGGTGAATTCAAGCAAATTTACGGGACAACCTGACACAAAATGAGAGACAGTATTCATTACTGATACCGAGTTTTACATATTTATATTATTTTTATAATTTGATTTCAAATCAAAATGTTGCATATTATGCATGGAACTTTGAAATATAAAATAAACACTACAGATTTTTTAATTTTATGAAACGACATTTTGCAATATATTTAGACACCCCTGCTTTGAATAATGAATTCGTCCACTCACAGAAATCTTTTCTTAAAGTTCAATTACCCATTATTGTCCGATATAAGTACAATATTGCATTTCATCCGGGTTATCTTGGTTCCATCATTATGATTCGTTGTATGGAAATATTGTTTTTAAACATTTTCATCGTGAAAAAAACAAACAGAAAAATGAAATAAGAAGCGCTAAAATAAAAATGTACATGTCAGTTCACTGGGCCGACCATTGCCAGACCTGGGGGGGGGGGGGGGGGGGGGGAGACCAAATTCGTGGAAAAATATTTAGCGGCGACTTAGCCAGCCGGTGAATAGGGGGGGGGGGGGGGGGGGGGGAGGGGAGGGGGGTAAAAGCACTTTTTTGTGAGTCGGGTCTAATTTGTGAGGAAATATTTTGCAGCGAATTATCCAGCCGGTGACTAATTAAGCGGGGGGGGGGGGGGGGGGGGGGGGGGGGGACACAATTTTGAAATCTTTCGTCTATGGCTGGCTGTCAAATTTGTTTGTTGCTACGACAAGCAGCCAGTGAAAACGAATTCTCTTCATACAATAATGGAAATGCAAGCACTAGTACTTTAAACAAACAGAACTTTGTTGCTCATTTTACCTGATTCGAGGTGTCATATAGGTCAGAAATGAACTTTCTAGAAATGTGATTTTCTCTTTGAAATTCAGATACCGTCCGCCAAATGGCTTTTTGGTAATAATAATAATAATAACAACAACATTTATAATGCGCACATATCCACCCCAAGAGATGCTTATGGCGCCTAACAATAAGGTTACATTTCACATAAGAAAGTACATGAGAATTTACAGAGAACGAACATAATTTAACATAATTCAATATAATTGAACAACATTAATTACATCAGATTGTGAAATATATTACGTCTTTACTAAGGAATTCAGACATTAGATAGGTTTTCAAATTTTGATATGATGACATTTTGATTGAATGTGGTAGGACAGGGAGTCCATAACCGGGGTGCAGCAGCTATAAAAGCTCTGTCGCCCCAACTCCTCTTTGTTCTTAATTGTATAATATTTGTTGAATTGGAGGAACGAAGACCTGCACGAGAACTTGAAGAGAGGAAATATATTCAGGGACAAAGCCATTTAGTGAACGGTATAGGTGAGTAGTAGAATGTTATATTTGATACGCTGTTCTATTGGAAGCCAGTGAAGGTTCTTGAGGAGTAGTAGGCCTATGGGTGGAACGTTTAGATTTAGTGACAAGGCGGGCAGCTGCGTTTTGAACCTTTTGTAGTCTGTGAATTTGGTATTTAGGAATAAAGGAGAAAGTTGTACAGTTAGCGAGATGAGATGTTACAAAAGCATGAATCATTATTGTTGAGTGGTTTGTTACAATTTCCTTATAGCGCAAAGATTACGAAGATGATAATAATTTTGAAATTTGTGCGTCAAGAGACATACTTGTATCGAAAATGACCGCACAAAGATTTCTTCAAATTGATTTTAATCACTCATGCGTGAAATAAAGAGGAGGATCTAAGCTTTACAAAACGTGTCATTTGTCAATTATGATAAAAAGTTATAAATAAAACATCGATAATTCTTGGTTTCGTTTTTTTGGGGGGACGCACTGTATAAAAAATGTAAACGCATGTAGGCCTAATACTGATATAAATTAGAAAAAATAAGGAATGGTTAACTGAAAGAATTTGGCTGCCCGATCTTGCCCGTCGTTATGTTAGAGCCGATTTCCCTTGCCACATTGCCCCGAAAAATTTGGGTTTTTGGGGTCCGCGGCTGAATCACGAAGGATTCGTGGTCATAAATCACAGCGCGAGGGGGCGCGTGACACTTGTTCTGACACCGCGGACCAAAATAAACACATTTTTCGGGGCAATGTTGCAAGGAAAACGGCTCTAACATCATAACGGGCAGAATCGGGCAGTCAAATCTGGTATCAACTTAAAGCTTAGACATCAGAGAAGATGTTGGTAATAAAATTTAAGCGAAAATCCCTGGAAATCCAAACATTTCCTCTGGATTTATAAAAAATAAATCCCCAAACATGAGTTTTGGCGCACTTTGGTTCCTCCATGGCCCACTGTGCGCCGTCCTCACCTCTGATAATTGCCCAATTCAACGGTGCCCCTTTTGCTTTGACATGCGCCCCTTTTGTAAAAAAGTGCCCCTTCCCTTTAATAACTACCCCTTTTTAACTCGGATAACTTTTTTTTTTTAGTTTTCCCTTTATTATTAGTGCCCCTTTTTCATTCTCATAAGTGCCTCTTTTCATATACGCGCCCCCTTTCCTTTCTAATAAGGAACCTATCCCTTTTGCATAAAGGCCCCTTTTCACTCTTATACAATAAAATTCCCCTATCAAAAATCTAATGGGTGCCTTTTTTCCGTCAAAAAAATGCCCATTTACCATTCTCAAATGTGCCTTTTTCATCCCTGGTGAGTGCCTCTTCTTTTTTTAGGTGTAATCAGAAGTACCCATTTTCACCTCTGATAATTAGCCTTTGTACTTTGAAACGTGCTCCATTCTTTTCTAATAAGTGTCTTATCCCTTTCGATAAGTGTCCCCTTTTCCTCTCATTATTAAATGTGCCCTTAATTTCAAGCGACTAAGAGCAATTTCTCCCAAAGCTCGATCGCTACGCTCGCTCGCGTTTATAGATGTTATATTATAATTATTTTATCAAAGATGTTATTTAGTCTTCCGTTATGAGAATGTGATATGCTTATAACCCCATCAGGATTGGGTTTTTTCCTCTCTGTAATCTTTCGCATTGCGACCTCACAAATTTTCGAATTTTTCCTCGCTCGCAAATGAATTTCCAGACCATCACACCCAACGTACTGCAAAGTATGCTAGCAATATATCTTATGATGTATAAAGAGAAACAAATATGGAAATCATCCCTGATAATGTAATCACAATATAGGGGTAATATACCAGCAGGCGCGTACGCAGGGGGGGGGGGGGGGGGGGGAGGGTTGAACCCCCTCCTCAAATGTTTTTATGTGTGTGTTTTGGGACCGTACCCCCCCCCATCCCAACTGAACGAAATATCGGTCGACCAAATTTTCGGGACCAAAAAATTAAATAAAATGTGCTCTTACCCCCCCCCCCCCCCCCGCTTATTCAGCGGCTGGCTGAGTCATTGCAAACATTTTCATCAATGCGTACGTCCTGTTAGTTAGTTTAGTATGTCAGCATTTATGTATGCATTAATCTTATCTGACGAGTTTGTTCTTTTAGGACATACTCATAAAGCTACTCATGAGGGACCTTAAATCCACAAGTCTTGCTTTCAACCAAGGTCACCTCATCTTTCTTTTGTAACTCCATACTTTGTTAACTTGTTACTATTCATGTCTAATTTGTAAATTGTATTATGAAAGAAAGATAAATAAAACTTGAACTTGAACTGTATACTAGTGCCTAAAAAATTGCATATTTTTGGTTAAAGATTCCCCTTTGCAGAACAGGTGCCCTTATTTTCTCCAGAAAGAGCCCCTTTTTTTGTTGTGCAAGCCCCCCCCCCCCCAATTAGGAAGTCGCCTATGACGGCACGCGTTATTTTTTTCTGCGGCACAGATTGGGGTTAGGTGCGTGTTGAGCCTATGGGAAAGTTTAGGGTTAGGGTTAGGGTTAAATCAAGACCTCTTAAAAAAAAAAAAGTCCCAATCTGTGCCGCAGAAAAAAATGACGCTGACGGCACGGGGTCCATGGGGTAGAGCTCCCGAAGCATAGATCTTGCTTTTTTGTCCGTTTTAGCATTTTTAAACACACGAAAATGGCTCTCCTCGCATATGCATAATACCCACACATTTTCAGTTGCTCTATAAGCTTCAGATGATACGCTTTTGATGTAGGCCTAAAACTCACTGAGCTAACATTGGGTATAAATCCAATTAGCTGTATGACGTTCAGGACATACCGGCGTGTGCCGCTCCAATGGGTGACTTTTTCACAAAAAACTCTAAACATGTTTTTTTTTAAACAAGAAATACAATTAAAAATGGGTCCGCAAGAGCGGGTGTTACGGGTGTTAGGGGTGTTTGCCAGGCAAATTAACACCAGAAAAACACCAGAATTTTTTGGAAAACGGGTCTTTTTTTTCGAGAAAAATGCCCGTATATGATCCCTAATAAGAGGTGTTTCGAGGCTTGAGCGGCCCACCCCAAATCCGAGTACCCCCCCGCCCCCCCCCCCATAAAATCCACACAATTTTCTCGCCTTTTGCTACTAGGAACGACGACGGAAAGCATATTTTCATTAAATACTTCTTTCAAATAGTAATTTTAGGCCCTGTGTGAATATGAAAACTTCTATACCTGAGTCCAAATATGTTATTTATTAGTTATCAAGATTTTGACCATTTCGATTTTTAAATCATTACGTAGACCTAATCGATCCAACAGGCAACAACGACCGCGACCCGTGGTCGTGGTGGATGATAACCCAAGATGTTGGCTAAACTTAAAGTTCTTCGACAAGAAGATAAAGCTTTACAGGAGATTGAGACGAAGCTTCGGGCACAACTCAATCGCTTGAAGGTATCGTTTTCCAACATTTTACAATCATTATGTCACAGTTGAGGATCCAGTGTGGCTTTATTTTTTTTCTTCAGTCCGACGTGTTCATAACCGTGTCGGGATGATCGAGGTTGGGTTGCACGTAAGAGAGCTCCGCTCCGTGCGCCCGCAGCAGGAGGCGCGGGGGAAAGTCCCGTTGAGTTACGTTCGTTGTGCATGCCCCGTAGGCGTTTTTTTTTCTGCGGCACAGATTGGAGCTTTTTAAAAAAGGGGTCTTGATTTACAGACTAATAATAGTGGTCGTGTGCGTACTAGTAGTAGAGGTCTGTTTTAATAGTGTTATGGTGGTGTGACCAAAGTTCGCGCGTGACCAAAGTTCGCGTACTAACACTAAAAGCGCTTAGGTCTATAACAGGAGAACGATACGCGATGCCTGTGTGGGACTGAGACAACGAAATCTTTGAGCACCGTCGACAACTCCAAAGGTCAAAATGCGGCATAAATATGTGAATAAGCTAGCTTTTTCACGCTTTTTATCATAACAAATTGTGTGTTTTTTACATGAAAATCAGTTTATTAGAGGGATCGACTCCGAAAAATAATGATAAAATTCCAATTTCTTACGCGAAAAACGGAACCTGCGCGCCTGCTTCCACCGTATCTGTGTTTGTGAATTTCAATGAATCTATGGTTCGTAAGAATACAAATTTAAAAGGGGAAAGAGGAGAGACAAAGAGAGAAAAGAGCGAGAACTCGTGTATGGCTGACATATAAAATGGAGACACATGATAATTTTTTCAAACAAACAAATGACATGCAGATAGGGACTACATTGACATTAACACATAAACATTGAAAAATATTGTCTTTTATTTGCAAAATTTAACAAGGGTATTTTTATCGGGCAATATTTCAATGATAGAGAGAAATTATTATATTTTCAAAGTTTCAATATAAAGTTCGGCTTCTGATTGAAACTACGTAACTTTTTGGAATGTTTACATATATAAAGCCCATCACAAGAGGGCAGTAAATATCATGCGCGAACTTAGGTCACACTTTTTGACGGACGTCGGTAGTGGTAAGGCTTCCGATATTCTCGTCTTATCATTGATTTGAAGTAAATAAAGCCTTGGAATGTTATATAATCTGATTATATGATAAATTACGAATCTTATGACGTATGGAACATGATATATGTTGATCTGGATTTTTTGAAATATGCAAGAAAAGAAAAATATCCGCGAACTTTGGTCACCCCTTCATACATGTAATCCACTACCGTATTGAAAATCATAACATCAACAATTAAAATGAAATTGGAAATCTGAAGAGGAGAACATCACAATTCAATAATTAGTCAATAAAACTTAACTAACTTGATATGACCCAGCAATTAAGCAAGATATAGCTGTAAAACAACTATGGTGCAAGACCCGGAAGCTGGGACATCCCCCCCCCCCCTTGAAGTTAGACCTGGAAGCTTGGCAGCTGGAGACGGCTTTCTTCCAGAAGCTTTTGGTATTCAAGGTATTCAAGGTATAACGAAGAGGAATGTTATCTAAACACATAGTTCGCGTTGGATATTCAAACTTCTTCGCAGCGCTATGCGCTAGCGAACATGACTAGTCTCACATACGTGCAGACACTATTCAGAAGGGAAAGAACATACTTCTCATAGGCTCAACACGCACCATGCCCCAATCTGTGCCGCAGAAAAAAATAACGCGCCCCGTAGGGCGCACAGTGCACAGTGCGTTGCGCTAGTATACCAGTGACTCGACTACCAATAATAATCACTCATTGATGTACGAGGGTTTGAGTTATTGAAAACAAATCATGATTATTCATTCACGAGAGTCACAAGACAATATCATGTTAAATAATAAATATGAACTAAAAGTAAAAGTCTCCAGGGGACTGGGGAGCTCTGACAACGATTAATATTTGCAAACAATGTGGTTGACCGAGTACTTTTGATTGTCTTTTTCTTGCATAGAATAATTTTTTTTCTTGTATATTTGTAAAGGTAATGTTACTTATAATATATGACCCAACTCCTCGTTATTTGACAGTGTATATAGCATTTTTTTGGGGGGACCTGAAACCGCTCTTACTTCTTAAGCAGAAAATGATTAAGCAAGAGATGAAAAAGGAGGAGATGTAAAATAAAGAGGAAGCGAAGAAGAAAACAAGAGAAGTAGTAGGAGAAGAGGAGACAGAGGTGAAGGAGAAGAAGAAGAAAGAGAAGATTATGATGATGGTGATGTGGAGTAGGTGGAGGGGAGGAGGAATAGGAAAACGGTGAGGAATTAGAGGAACATATATTCATGTATTTTATTAATCCTATGTCAATTATTGTCACTTTCAATTTGAATTTTATGAACACAGCAAGAGGAGCGTGTCTTAAGACGTCAAATGAGGAAAACTCATGAAAGAAGTTTGAGTGAGGATGATCAGGAAGTTACGAAGGTAAACAGTCATTTTATTTCCCAACTTACTAATCAGCCATAGCAACATATTGTACAGTTTCCATTTTATTTTAACCTTCCTTGTTAGACATGCTGTGGTGCTTTGTGATGACCACTGGTGTACTGATCGTGGGGGTTTGGGGGGGGGGGGGGGGTCGGGATGGTAGGGAAGGGAGAAAGATTGATGTTTGGAAAGGGAGATATGCATTTCATTTTTTGAGATTGTATATTTCTAATTCGATACCAGTGATTTACAGACATGATTTACTGGTTTTTTTCTCTCACTTTTTTTGTAAATGATATGCATTTTGTTTCTTTCTGCCCCCCCCCCAAAGTTTTTGCTCATTACGCCACTGGTGATGAATCTACAATGTAGAATTCAAAACAATTTTGGGTAATATTGTTTTCCTATCAAATACATTCCATTTCATTTTTTGCTGTATGTCAGGCTGATCTAATCAAGACTTCCCTCATGTTTGTAATTGAAATTTCAATAAAGTCCATCATTATTCAGATGAGAGAAAGTGGTGCTTAGGTAGTGACTTCAATGCTCGATGTACAATTAAAGATAGTCTGAAAATTTGAGTGAAAACGGACCATTATTAATGATACAAATTGGGAAAAACTGATCTGACTGATTCCTTAATTCTCCCAACTATATTATTACAATTTAATTACATTTTAGGTGAATGTAAATCGTCACAAGGCAATAAATTGGCTCTACATACTATTCCAGTCATTTAAGTGTCAAAAGATTTTTAATAGCCTGTTTTATTTATTTTTTCATCAAAAAATGGTTGGGAAAATTCAAAAATGGTTGGGAGAATTTACTGTTAATCACTGTTAGAGGGTGTTGCACAGTAATGCTTTCAAAGAAAACCATAGAAACCTTCGTGGTTGAAGAATTTTTTCAGGATTTTTGCATGTCAGTAGAAGGAATATAATAAGTAACATTTAATTCTAAAAAAAGCAATTTTTCATCAACCTTCAACTATGTTACTGAGTCACTCTAAAAGTTATTATGGCATTTAGATTTTATGCCATTCTTTGTAAAATCTAACCATCAGTTTAGATGAAATGTCAACATCAAAATTGGTAACAGCTAACAATGATACTTCATGATCAACTTATCTTACTGAACTGCTGAATGAAATGATTATTCAGTTAGGTTTGTTTCGTTTGGAAGTGCCATATTCACTTAAATTCAATTTGGCAGTTCAACTACATAAATGCACTAGCATAGTACATGAAGCGAGGTGCCCTTAAAGCCTTATCTTTTATATGAAGCAATCTTTGGTCCTAAATTGAACAATTGAATTTTAATGATTTACTATTTTTTCTGTAATTGATTTAAAAACATTAATTTCAGGACTCTGAGCCACACATGGACGACGAGATAATCAATCAAGAACCACTGCAGGATCTCAATGAGAGAGCAACTTCAATTCTGCAAATGTGTCAAGCACAATATATTGAAGAAAAGATGGATACAGAGGAAGAGGAAGACGAAGGGGAGGAAGAGGAAAATGACATTGATGAAGAGAATGAATATGATAATGAAGGAGGAGTTGAAGATGAAATTGGAGCCGAGTATAAAAAACTTTTTAAAGAGATGAGGGCTGAAGTAGACTATGAAGATGATTTTGAAGATTGCTGAGTCATGGTGACAAAAGGAATACTATCATGCAGGCCAAAGAAAAGAAGATGCAGGTTGAATGCAGAGGTTGAGGACCAATTTGCTTTTGGAGCAAGAAGCACGTATGGAGGCAAAACTTTCATCAGATGTCATCGGAATAATCAGAATTAACAAGATCACAAGACAGATGAATGTGGAGTAAATATCCTAAACAATTGGAGGGGGAAGTCTTTACGTCCTATATATCTGTAAAACTGTGAATGAAGAAAGGAAGATGCATTTAAGATTGAGGGCCAAGTCTTATTGGAGAATGAAGTATGGAATATGGAGTCAGAACCTTGATCATTTGTCATGGGACTAATCAAGGGATGTAAGCCAGATAAAGACACTTTATGACAGAGTAAATATCCTACAAGTCCGGACTGGAGGAGAGTTTTTATGTCTTGTAAGAAAGGAATATGCATTATGCATGCTGTATATTGTATGCAGAGATCAAGAGCAGAGTTTTGAGCATAAAGTGTGTAGGCAAACCCTTGAATATTTGTTATGGGAATAATTAACTGTTACAAACTTACAATATCAATGACGATATTAAATAACCTATAACCTTTGCATGATCTAGGTGCGAGATATATCTCCATCTTTGAGAAGTTCCATTCTAGCCTGAAGATTCATGCAGAACTGTTCAAGAAACTGTGGGTCACAAGGGTAGGGTACTTTGGGAGTGCCTGTGATGTGTCCTATTCAAGAACAGAATATTATGATAAATTATTATTATAAGGCTCCAATTACCAATACAGACTTAGATATCTGCCCTGTACTATGTCTGTTGAACACAAGTAAAATTGTTTTCAAAAATTGAATTCTTCGAGATGAATTGTGGAGAGATACATTGTAGGCATAGAAAGAATAAAGTTTGGTGCCTTACAATTGCAATAAGAGGATAGGTTGTATTACTTGTGTATGTTTTTTTTCTTCAGGGAACTAATTTTCTTGCCAAAGGGTGTTACCTGTTCAAGTTTCAAGCAACATTGTCTTTCATAAAAACTGCTAGGAGTATGAAGAGAATGGGTAGATGTATTCCGGTGCAAAAGATAAAAGTATTTAAATGTCAATAGAGACAACACTAAACTTCTTAAGGTTAAAAGAGAACCTATCCTTGAAAGAAAATCACTTTGAAAGAAAGGAGACAAGTCAGAAAAACAGAATGGTTCAGTTTGAATGAAATCAAATAGACAAAAGTAATGACATTCTTTGATGTGTCTAAGCTAAGCCGAACCAGGTTGAATTCCCTTTTATGCAATGTGACAATTGATTAGGCTTATATTAATTTCATACTGAAATATTTTGAGAGGGAGTCGGGAGTATAAAGACCAGCTCTCTTGTTTGCCAAAGTGAATGTCTGCCAGATATGTCGTTGAGATGACATATATTAGGCGCAAATGATAATTTGAACCCTTTTGGTACGACTCTCATCTCATTGGGTATTCGTCCAAAAATAAATCTCACTTGGGTGGATAGCCAAGATGCTTTGTACCCCCCCCCCCCCCCCCAAGAGAGGGAGGAGGGGGAGTGCTGCATGATCATGCCATTCATTACTTTATTGCTATTTATTTTATTATTATTATCAAATAGAAAATATGGTGTCTCGAATTGAGAGTTTATCTGGAGTTTTGTTAAATGACTGATATGCTAAATGAGAGAGTGTGTGTGTGTGTGGGGGGGGGGGGGGGAGGGTTCAGAAAACTTTACAGAACAATAAGGATCAAAAGTAAAGCTGCTGGTATATAATTGTGGCATTTAATAACTTTCTCTACTCTTTGATTTACATGCATGTTTACAGTTGAGAAGGAATAAACTTGTAAAAACCAAAAGAAGTATGCTGATTGCTGACAATGTTACATAAATCTCTTTGTAAACAAGTATCCTTTTTTATAACTCCTCATGTTAAGATGAAATTTGACCATCAAAACTGGTGATAATGATAATTCATGATTGCACTATCACTATCAAATGATCCAGACTATTTACAAGAGACTTTATACAAAGTTCTTTTTGGTGGTTTAAACACATGTTCATACTTGTATCTGTCACAAATCACTTACTCTACAAGATATAGAAATTTAATTTAAACAATTAAGAAACTGGAGAGTAATGAAAAGGTAATAATCTGTGAATTTCTTTTATTCTTAAAATTTAACAAAAATTTGACTGAAAGGGATAGTTGAGTTCTGTTTTCAGACCGCAAATGACTTCAAAGTGCATAGTTATTGCTCTTATTCTTATCTATGTAATTTTAGACCCCAAAATGTGTGAAATTTAGCCCATACGATCATACCAATTCAGATCCACTTTAAAAATTTGGTGACCGTTAATTAATTAATTAGTTAAAAATAACAATACATGGGCCAGCTGGTCGTGCATAATATACATGTAACCAACACGAAAAAGCCAACAAAAAAGTCAACATCGGCATTGGCTGAAATACGACGTAAAAGGCGTAAAAGAAATATTTCGTTTTTCAACGGCTTTTTCAAATTATTGAATATTTGTGGTCGTACACAAGCATTAAAAATCTATGGATATTTCAGCTGTCTCTGAACCGATTTTGTCTTTTAAATTGTATGTTCTTTCATATTTGACATTCATCTCTTTCATTATCTCAAAACAAAATATTTTGTGTAGCGCCCTCTGCAACAGAACTCAACTATCCCTTTAAAATTTGACATATCAAAATGTTCAATTTAGTCTTGATTTGTAGTAAATCACAATGAACATTTCTTCTTCTTTTTTTAAACCATAGGCTGAAATACAGAAGTCTTTTAATAATGCTCCACTCAAGAGTTCTAACACTGTCTCACACATTTTACATTTTTGTTCATATATAGACTCATCAAGATGACATATGATCTCAAAGCAAAACATGTTCACCACAAAGAATAGAGTTACACTTGAGTAATGATTCTTAAGGGTTGGCTGCTGGTGAGAGATTCTACAGTTTTCTCAAAATGGCCGGTTATTTTGCCTTGAGACCAGTTCATTCAAGGTAAAACAAGCTGGTTACAACAAAATTCCATGGCCAAAATTGTGATACCAGTCTATCTATCCCTAGCCATCTTGATCAACACAAGTCACCTCTTTATTGGTATACAGATTACAGACCTTTCATAACTGATCACAGTTACCGGTAAAACATGTCTATTTGTCTACAATAAGAAGAAAAAAATGCAGCTAATATTTTGGAACATGAAAATAAATACATAATACAAAAAATGTGCATATTGCACCAACATTACATAATGCATCCTTTTGAGAGAAAAATATTGATGGCACGTCAGGATCCACCTAATTAAAACATTGACGATAATGGATTTACTTGACAAATTTCCCTATGAGAAAAAAATTATAAATTGTGAAGTGCAGTAATTTCTACTTTACAACCAAATCAATTGATTACTTCACTACTTGTTTACAAATGAAATGCTTGCACATTAATTTAAATGATAAATTCAGCAAGTCATTTGAATCTACATGTAGTCCGCCTTGTTCAGGACCAATACACCAGCAATATCACACAATACATGATATGTTTCTCAGAAAAATGACAGTGGTAGGTAGTTGCAGCACAATTTTCCCTTCATTGTTTTGCAAAATGAATAAAGAAAAACCTGGAAAATTTGAATTGGATTTATTTCTAAATTTTACACCAGCAAATATTTCATTTGCAGACTTCCAGTAAGTTTTCTTTAACACAGTAAAAATGGATTTAAGCAAAATTCATGAGAGGGAAAATTGGCAACAAGTACAATTGTACCTTTATAGCTACACCTGACATTCAAGAACAATATCTAGTTGTGGTAGCAAAAAAGGAAAAGAATTTTAATTTGTTGATTAAGTCCTCATATTGTTACATCTGTATCAAAAACAAATGTTTGAATTCCTATTGGGTCTTATTAAAATTGTAAATGGGCTGTGGCACACTGTACCCTGTAAAGTTTCCTCCACCCATCCATTCTCTATATGGGTTGGGGTAAGTTCATCACCATGGAATACAGGAGACATATTCAATATAGCTTCTCTATATTAGCTATGGAATTGTAAATATTCACATGACGAAAAGTTGGAAGGAGTAGAAACCAATAAATACAAATTAATAAGACATTGTAGACCTGTCAGATTCTTGTGACAATATAATCTTTTAAGATTCACTTTCGCAACTTTAATAGGATAAATGGCCAGATGCAAGCTCCTTTCGTTACATGTATTTGCCAGCCATCAGCGAGAAACATACATTTTGGCATCACAAACATCCCCTGACTTCCTACATTCTAGCCAGCCATCAATTTGCACAGAAGATTCTTGCTTCACTAGTAGTCTTTTGAATAGCGTTCTCCTTTTTTCTGTACTGGGTGTCAGTCCTGCCCCGATGCTGCTGATATCTTGCCATCAACAGCCACAATCTTGACCTTGTCAACTGTCACAAAGTCACCATTACGGAAGTCCACATCGTTAAGAACAAAAGTCCAAACGTTGTCACAGAATCTGTAAGTATTTAGATGACCCTGAAAGAAATTGAACAAAGAAAAGGTTATAGTAATTCAAGACTTTACCAAAGCATGAATCAAGTTGAGTGAAAGGAATGTGATCATTCACAACAGTCTAATCATTAATTTTCTCCTATATCTTTCCTGTCAATGGAGAGACTACAGAAATATTAAAATGAACGATTGATGTAAGCAACAATGGGGGAAAACCTAGTTTGCCAGGCCTCCTATGTCGTCAGTTTCAGGAAAAAGTTACTTTGTTCAGTCATTTGGCGAGAGGGGGGTGGGGCACGAATGCTGAAAAAGGCTTGTATAACAAAACAAAAAGGTTGACCCGTATAGACTTTACACACCAGACTTTTGCAGAAAGGGGGGGGGGGGGGGGGGGGGGGGGTCGCTGGGAACACGCATATGTGTACCCTAAATAACACTGAGTGGGGGGGGGGGGGGCGGGACTATTTTAGGGAAAATGATCTTCAGTCTTGACTTAATTATTTTTTCTTCAAATAAGAACATACAAATCCAACTTTTTATTATACCTTGAAACTGATCTTGTTTTTAGTCTGTTTGCCAGAGCATCATTGATGGCACGATCAAACTTGAGCAGGACATTCAGAGCAAGTTGTGGTGTAATAAGCCTTGCCTGTATGGGAGAGAAAAAATGATTTTAATTAAGCACAGGATCAAGATACATGTTTTTTTAACTCACATACAGATTTCTCTCACTTGAGTTTCCCTGCATTTTACTCTTCCGAATACAATGCCTGACAGCTAGAACAGACCATAGCAGGGAAAAAATTAATATTTATTTTTCGGGGGCTACTTTTCAAACTTGCCTGCATGAAATCAACACTCTAAAATTTGTTTTGTATAGAACTCTAAGAAAAAATTTACAGGGGCTCTTTTCAGATTTTTAGGGGCTCTTTTGGGCATTTCGGGGGCTATTTCGCCCCGAGCCCCCGTGTATTTTTTTCACTGGACCATAGCTTGGTTTGCCAGACTCCTGATAAAATAGTTCACTTTCCCATAACCCATTCTCTATATAAATATAGGTCATTCATTCAGGATTCACAATGAAAGTATACCAGTTGCCAATACACATATTTTCACCTTTTGGCTTAACAAAAAATCTCAACGTTAAGGGCTTCAGGCATTCAAATATATTCTTTTACATGTACTGGTATGTCAAATATATCATTCAAAATTCCTTACATGTATATATCAAATATCCATCCAATTGTTTGAAGGGTGGGTTGTTATCCAATAAAAAATATATGTATGGAATGAACTCCCTGCCCTGTTGTCTGAAGTTCTTAGCCAAAAAAACCGGTAAGCCAAAATACCGGTAAGAAGGAAATGGGTATTTTTCCCCATTACTGAGAAAACAACTTCAATTAGATCTACAAATGATATAAATAAATATTTATCATTGGTAGTCACCGGAAGGAAAGCACCAGATATAAATAACTCATATTTTCCTTCCAATTTCTTTTCCCTTATTCTCATCTTATCATTCTATTCACCTGTCTTCTTTCCCCCTTATTATTTTGGTTCTTTTTGCTTTGTTAATTCCTCAAATCTCCTCTTCTGTTCACAGTGGATTCCATGCGTGCACCTCCATAGACTTAACTAATCACTCTTATTGTGAAATAAATATCAAATTGGAAACGCGAAAACAATTTTTTTCGTGTACACCTCATGTCTTTGCATTTAAGCCTGAACCAACATTGCGCACTCTTGTAAATTGTGCCTAGACTAATTATCATCATGCATCAGGAACACAAGGAAGGTAAGCAAATGGTTATCACTCCGGTACCAAAATCATGTATTTTTTGTTAAATTCTTGACAAATTTTAAAGTGCTTTAATTGAGAAGAAAGAATAGTCCAGTAGTCCACTAATGCTCATCATCAATTCAATGAGGATCTGAGATTACAGTCGCTAACTGCATGCACGACTTTGAAAAATTGAAATCATGACCATTAGACCCCCCCAAAAAAAATCAGTTGGCTGTCCTCGACCGTCCGCTCATCAATTTCGGCCCCCTCATATTTTGTTTTGTTTTTGGAGCAATTTTTGTCAAACATACCATTTTATTTTTATGCATAGTCTATTGCATGTTTGATGGTAAGATCAATCCACCGAACCCACTCCGTAGCGCCTATGGTTCGCTTCTGTCTCTAAAGAGAGGAGCCGACCTAGTCCAAGAAGTTACTAGCTAGTAACTTCTTGCCTAACAGTTAGTCAAATCAGAGGCTAACGAACGAAGCGACAGAAATTTCGGTCTAACCAAAAAGTTAGGCCCTAGATCTACACGTAGTGCAGCGCCTAGAGGCGAGCTAGAGCTGAGGTCAATACGCATTTAGCATTGATTCTAGATCTATGCTTCTATATTAAAACATTTGCATTTTGCTAAGCCTCTTCTGTCTTTAAGTTACTCACCTGAATTAATTCGTCCAGACTCTCTTGCAAGCTGTTTCCAAGGGCTGTGTTTCTATATAGTTGATGGCTCATCTTTGCTGTTAAAAGTGGTTGTAAAATGTCAAATTCTGGAGTAGACTACGATTAGTTATACACAACGCATATATCGCTTTTGGTGTCGCTGAGTGGACAAATTAAAATAGAAATGTAGTCTACGATGGTACTAATCGAAAACCCTATCGAATGGCAAAAAAACAGAAGAACAAAAGAGAGAGAGAGAGAGAGAGAGAGAGAGAGAGAGAGAGAGAGAGCTAGAGAGAGAGTGAGAGAGAGAGAGAGAGAGAGAGGGAGGGAGAGAGAGAGAGAGAGAGAAAGAGAGAGAGAGAGAGAGAGAGAGGGAGAGAGAGAGAGAGAGAGAGAGAGAGAGAGGGTTATTATATATATATTTTTTTTGGGGGGGGGGGGAGGAGGGGGAAGGGGGAAGGAGGAAGGGGGAGAGAGAGAGTAGAGAGGGAGGATACTACGTTCGTAATTAATTATACCGTTCTGAAACCGATGGGAAAGGTCAAAGGTGTATATATGCACCCGGCCAAGGGGGGCCCGTTTCTCGAAACTGTCATAAGTCTTACACTCAATGTTACACTATAACTTTGACATTGGTTATCCAATATATGTGTACAAAAATTATAACTAGGAGCGAGCATAGCAAGCGAGCTTTTGGCAAATTGCTCTCAGTCGCTTGAAATTAGGGGACACGTACTTATCGAAAGGGTTAAGACATTTATAAGAAAGAAAAGGAGCACGTGTCAAAGTATTAAGGCTAATTATAGGTAAAAATTGGCCACTTCTTGGACCTAAAAAAGAGGCACGCACCAGGGATGAAGGGGATTTTATGAGAAATGGGCATTTTTTGACGGAAAAGAGGCACCCATCAGATTGTGATAGGGGCATAAAGTGATAATTGGCATTTATGAAAACAGGGATAAGTTCCTTATTAGAAAAAAAAAGGGGTACATATCATTGTTAAAAGGGTAACTGTCAGAGGTGAAAAGGGGCACTTATCGCACATGCAAAGAGGCACTTATGAGAATGAAAAGGGGGCACTAATGATAAAGGGAAATGTGCATTTGTTAAAATAAAAGGGGCACCCATCACATTTTAATAGGGGCATTTATCGGAGGTGAAAGGGGGCTTATATGAGAAGGGGGGGGGGGGAGTGGCTCTTATTAAAAAGAAAAAGAGGCACATGTTAAAATAAACGAGACATTTATCAAAGATGAAAAGGGGTAATTATGAGAAGGGGAAGGGGCACTTATAAGAAGGAAAAGGAGCATTTATTAGAAAGGAAAAGGGGAACGTGTCAAAATAATAGGGGCTCCACTAGTCAAAGTAAAACGAGTATCTCTCAAAATTGAATAGGGTTATTTTAATAGATGAAAGGGCATTTATTAAAAAGGACAGGGGAAACATGCATGTGAAGAAAAAAAAGGTGCAGCTAATAAAAGGGGAAGGGGCACTTTTTACATAGGAAAAGGGGAACTTGTCAAAGCAAAAGGGGAACCTCTGATTTGAATAGGACAATTATCATAGGTGAAGGGGCGCTTATCAAAAGTGAAAAAGGGCACTTCTCGTACCTGAAAAGGGGAACTTACTAGAGATTAAAAAGGCAATTATGAGATTGGAAAATGGACACTAATGGCAAAGGAAAATGGGAACTTGTGAAAGGAAAAGGGGTATGTGTAAAAATAAAAGGGGCACTTATCAGAGGTGGAAAGGGGAAGGGGCAGTTAAACAATTAATAGGGGCACTTGTCAAAGTAATAGGGGCACTTTTCCTTCCGGGAGCACTGCCTCTATCCACGTAGTTAGACTTATGACGGTTTCGAGAAACGAGCCCCCTGGTATATATATTTAGAGGTCTATTATATGTTCATGGAGAACTCGATTTCTAAATGAGATGCAATGATTGAAACTATATAGCCTTTAATACAAATGTATAACAAAATGTATAGCAATATCCATTTGTATTATGACATTCTGCTTTCCTTTTGATATACATCTGATTGATTTACACAAAGCTTTTATAGAATCATTATAGTCCCCAACTGACAATTCTAAAATTCATAACCTAAACCATTTTAAAAACGTGTGCGAAGAAATGACTTTACTTATTTTGAGAGATTTATTATATTATTGTCCATAAATATCTACAAGTTTAACCGCCAAAGTGTGTATGAGATATAAAGCAAAAATACTGTACAGTTTATCAGCACGTCATGGGCATCATTTTCGTACATGACGTAATATGTGAAGTCTTCTATCAAGTAAATGTATTCAAATCTTGGATGCTTCCTTCCCAGATGTGTGTGGTGATGAAGTATCATTCCCTTGCTAAGTATTATCCCTTACAGAACAAAATCGTGAGATTCATCAACTATTCTGGTCCAAGAACTCATGTTGGCTTCATCCAACTTTCTAAAGCTGGTTTTTCTTGAAGTCAACCTTTGACCCTAATAAGGCCGGGGGGGGGGGGGGGGACATTATGGCCCCCCTCCACGATTTTTCTGATTGCTCAAGAACGCATATAGATGGCGCCCCGCCACTTGCTGACTTTTTTCTTTCGAGTCTTGCGCAACTTTTAAAAGAATTTTTTTGAAAATCGGACCTACGGTTACAATGTCACGTGACCTTTTGTCTTTGCATGTCAGCCCGAAAATCGCTCATTTTCGTGATTTGTGTACGAAACATATGGAAAAGTCATTTTTCCTAAAAACAGATCAAACATGGGTTATGGGTCTTGTTTAAAGTTTAGGTGGTTGTTTTGGGTGTCAAAATAGTTGAATTGTAGTAAGAAATGAAATAAAATAAAACAACAAAAACAATGAAATACGTAAGTTAAAAAAAAACAATGAAATACATAAGAAATTATCAAAACAAGGGATAACATAAGGAATAAGCTGGCTCTTCCAAATTTGTTTGTTGTATTATTATTCAGAATGGTCTAATGAATATATGTAGTGAAAAAGAATGCCTAATTATGAATAATATATGATTTATGGGTAAAAATGTGAGTTTTATGACTTTATTTGCATAAATTACCATAAATATGCAAATGAGTGAATTTTTCAAAAAATTGAAATTATCATATTATTCTATACACTTCACTTGACATGCGTGCAAATTTTCGCGAAGATCGGGCGCTTCGCGGCCGAGATCTTAAGGGGGGGGGCCATTATGGCCCCCCGGCCATACTAAGACCTCATATAGCCCGGCCTTATTAGGGTTAATATCAAAACAATTCGTATTGCATCACGTGCATAAAATATATCATACTAGGTCGAATCATATTCGATCCCACTTCGATCTTGTTACCGACTCTCATGATTATAATACAAGAAATAACCGATTCTACTTTAACTATTACCATAAAAAGTATAGGAAGTATTGGCATTCGTTTTATTACATTGCCATAAAACATTGGAATTCCCTTCCTAATGATATAAAGGAAAAAAAAAAACTTTTCTCATTTTAAGGGGAAATTAAAGGAATACCTTACACTTGAGAGACAGAGGAGAGAAGCGAATGACATGTTATATTATATGATTGAACTATAGCCTGAATACAGATTTTTTTTTCTTCCTGCTGATTCGTACTTTTTAATTTTGTATATTAAAAGGTCCAGACATCTTCCTCCGGCAGGTGACCTATACAACCATAAAGCTGAAAATCTCTCCTTTTAGAATATTTAATCAGCTCAAAGATTTAGGTGCCCTGACAGTGGGCACTTCATTTTTAATTATTGCTTGAACGGGATATGAATTGTTCGGAATAACCGAACTTTTTCAGAATACAGCCCAGAGCCGGAATTCCAGACATCTTCCTCCGGCAAGTGACCTATACCACCAGAAAGCTGAAAATATCCTCTTTTAATGAAAGGGATATAGCCATTGTGCGGAATGACCGATATTTTCAGAATACAGAGCTGATATTAAAGTTAAACAGTATTGAGTAAGGTCCAGACATCTTCCTCTGACAGGTGAGCTTTAACACTAGAAAGCCGGAAGTTATTACTCATTCGTTGATAATATTATTTTGAAATAGACGAGAAATATAATAATTTTCTAGCGAGAAGCATCTAACCAGATTAAACTTATAAAAAAGCAGAAACACGAAGTTGCAAACCATCCAGAGACTCCTAATAAATTGCATTACTGACTAATTAATTATGCCATTACAAATCTATATTATCAGTTTTCTTATGTATGCATGGCGTATATACTATATATTCAATACTACTGAATGAACGCCATTAAACTATTAACAACAATAACAACAGCATCTAAGGCCAGGAGAGACAGAAAGAGAGAGAGAGAGCGAGCGATATTTTTCTTTTTCTTTTCTTTCTCTTTACCCTTTTGACGACACCGTAAGTGGTAAAGGCGCGAAAGAACTTTTACAGCGCACGCAAGATTGAAGTTGGCCGGATTCCAGCCGGAAAACCAATTTGAGGAATGTGAAAAGTATAAGGGTCTAAGATTAAAATTGGATTAACGCAACTAAATGAATTATTTATTGACCTGATCTTGAATAAAAACGAAAAGTTTGCAAAAATATTTAAATGAAATATATTTTATATTAAACTGGAAAAAATAAGGCTAAAAAAGACGGTAGTTTTCCTATTACTCTATGTGTAATATAGAACAATCAGAGGGGGTGGGGTAACTTTGGATCGGTACGCTAGCGCTCAGAGAAAATACCTATTGATGAGATTAATGGAGGTTCAAGAACAAGGTCTCATTTTCCCCAAAAATGACATTTTATCAAAAGTTAAATGGTTCTTCGATAGCAGAGAAGTCTTTCTGCAGACGGTCATTTTCCTAACTCTACGTGTACTACCTATGGGACAATCGGAGGGGGAGGGATAACTTTGGATCGGTACGCTAGCGCTCAGAGAAAATACCTATTGAAGAGATTATTGGAGGTTCAAGGTAAAGGTCTCATATTCCAAAAAATGACATTTTATCAAAATTTAGATGGTTCTTCGATAGCAGAGTAGTCTTTCTACAGACGGTCATTTTCCTAACTCTACATGTACTACCTATGGGACAATCGGAGGGGGAGGGGTAACTTTGGATCGGTACGCTAGCGCTCAGAGAAAATACCTATTGAAGAGATTAA